AGCAGCTTGATGCATTCGCCATCATACCGTGGGCACCAGGGTCAGGAGCTCATCTGGCGCCGAGAAGCCAAAACTTCATGTGCTTGTAACCGCTGACTTGGCCTCCTTAAGGAACTTGCTGCCAATGAGAGCGGGAGTGATCTCGGCCCGATGCGTGGTCGGGTGGCGAGGATTATCGCCTCAAGCGTGTCGGCTCAAGTTTTGACCCCCACCACGTTCTCGGTGCCGCCCGTGTCCTGGACTGCCGTCAGAGACCTGCCCCCTTCCCTCTGGCCCGAGGTCCTCCGCGACTTGTCCGGTTATCAGGCACAGGTCGCTGTAGTCAGGCGCAGGCCAGCAACCAGCCAGCACGTCTTTCCTGCCCGTTTGGGAAACCAGGCAATCACGGCGAAAGTGGCCCCGGCTACTACAGAGACGGACGATTGCCAGAGTTTTGGGATGTCCTTTCTTCCGCGAACCCGACTGCGCATTTCTTGATTTCTTGCCCTGGCCTTGCACTCTTGCCGCCACAGCAAAGTAAGTGGGTACGTTTTCTGCATCCTTGCGTCGAAGTTGGTGTCACTTTTCCACTGGAGCATCTACAAGGTGCAGCTCCAACAGCAGTTTGTTAAGCCCGCCCAGCTTGTCAAAATCATCTCATACCCTCGTGGGCCCTGTAGCCACTGCTCCATGGCGCTCCGTGTTCTTGAAACTCTTCGAACCAATTGCAAGCGACCCCGCTTGGAAGCTCGAGAAACACGAGGCACTGCAGCCCTCCAAAAGCTCAAGGAAAACCGGGTGGCTTTAGCAGGCCACGCCCTGTCGGCCCTGTCGGCGAGCGGGCTCAGTCTCTGCGCACGGAACATGTCAACGGAATGGGAGGTGACATCGGGGGAGGCACAGCGTATATCCGTACATGTGTCTATGCGTCTCTGCACTCTGTTGCCCTTGGTCCCTGGGCAGGCCGTGCTTCATCTGGTTGATATGCAGCTTTCTCCAAAGGCGGACTGCCTCGCCATGCAAGGGTGACTTTCAGGAAGAAACCGAAACCCGGCTTCGTGTTTGTTACTCTCCCCCGGCCCGCCTCGGAGGAGCCGTCTAAGGTCCCGAAGTTGGCCGCGGCCTGGGCAAGCGGCCGCGGCCCGTTTACGGCTCCGGCCGCGCTCCGCTTGCGCTTCTTGGGATATGGCACAGTCCGGGTCGAAGAGGCACATCACGGCAACCTGAAGAACAACACTCTGGGAATGATCTTACTGTGGGCTTTCGACTCTCAGCAGCCGACATTGATGTGGTCCAGGAGCTGCGTCGTCGCATCTCGGAGGAGCCCCAGCTTCGAGGCTAGTGCGTAGTTGGCCTGTGAAATTGAGCCTTCTCCATAGTCGGGGTCCCGCAGGAACTTGTGGTACTGCAAGAGAAGCGCCTGTGAGAGCGGCGCCCACAGCGCAGAGAGCCATGGAAACTGCGCTTCCAGCTCTCAGAGCTCTCTCCTTCTCGATGCCCCATTTCAGGAAGAGGAGGAAGACCTCTGGAGCGGCTGCCGCTTGCGGATCCGCAAACTGCAGAAACACCGCATGCTGCTGTCAAGACTTCCAACTGCAATCGAATCAAGACAAGTTTATATGATAGATTCATCTTTGATCGCATATATCACTATATATCGCTATATCCTGGCTACTACGTCACTACATGCTGCTCCCAGAAAAGCGTGTGTCCGAGCCACCCACCGGTACCCAGAACTCGCGTGCGTGAGCATCGGCTTTGCCTTGGACGAGACTCAGTGTCTGCAGAGTCTCACATGGCGGCCCAAGTAGAAGGCAGAGTGAGATCTCGGCTGAGCCTATTCTTGGCAACCTCATCCAGCTTGGACCAAGCTTCCTGCATGAACTGACATGCGGATCAGATCTCGCCGAGGTTTTTCGAACAAAGCGACTATGACACACGAAAGCCAAACTCAAACCCACAAGGAGGACCACGAGCAACCCGGGACGCAGAAACATGATACGGGTAACAGAACAGCAAATCCTGTATGGTCAGCACCAGGCTTTGACGCGTGGAATCTGGCAGTGGGAACCTCAGCCCAGCAGCACAGAAAGCAACAGGCATGTCACTTCACCCTTGCTTCTGCTTGCCCATAGGCCTAGGCCTAGGCCTCTGGCGAGTGGAGGTGTGCAAAGGCGTTCCAGTACAGCAAGTGCGCAGAAAGGCCGATCCTGTGAAGAGCCGGGATCCTTCAGCCTTCGGCCTTCAGCTCCTTCAAACCGCAGCGGCCGGGGAGAGCACAGACGCGTGAGGGAGAAGAGCAACCTTCGCACACCGTCAAAGAAGAGCCTCAGGAGAGAGAAAACAAAGAGACACGCACACACACACACACACACACACACACACATGTACGAAATCTCGCATGAAGGAACACAAAACGGAGGCAAGCAGAGCTCCGTCACAAGCAGAACTTGATCAGAACTTGGTATCCCAACGGGTCACGGCCTCGTTTTGTTGCAGCACTCTTGCAAACACCTCTTCACCCTTGGGTGTGGGACGTGTCGACAGCAACTCCAGCGGGAAGTCGTTCCTTTGGGGCTTCAGGACTGTCGCTGCAGGGCCCTCTCACAAGGGGTGTTATGAGGCGGTCTGGGCCCTTCTTCACGGCTCTCCGAATCTCGAAAGCTTCGCTGCTCAAGGCTTCGCTTCTGGGGCAAACGCTCAGCATATTCGTCCACCTCCACCTGCAGCTGTTCCAGTGACACCTGCGATGGCATTGCGCAAGCGATCAACCATTGTCCGCCGAGCGTGGCGATGGGACTCTGCAGTTGTGGAGATCAGGTATGGCAATGCTTGGATACAAGGGAAGCCGCAAAGTTGTAAACGGTTGGATCATGGTGTGAAGTCCTGCTAGCAAAGAAACATACTGATGTGCTTGTAAATTTCAGATCGGTGAAACGGCTTTCGAGAACTCGAATAGATTCAACACGCAGATTTCAGATCAGGATTCCAGAAATCCCTGGGCTCATCAACACTTGATGCGGTCACCTGCAACGGCTTCTGCACATCTGCCACGAGCTCAGCAGGCACCTCCGTCCAATCCCAAGCAAAAAACAAAGGTCGGAGCAAAGTGTGCGCGGAACTAACAGTCACGAACAACGATGCCTGAATCTGGGACAGGAGCCCCGGCGACCTCAGCCAGACCACAACCACAAAGATTCTGCTGCGACTTGAAGATTAAGAGCTCATCCGAGGAACTGCCAAGCGGTGGTGCCCCTGCCACCTTAAGCACTCATGCGAAGAGAGAGTACTGACGACAGCACACATGCCAGTGTGAGCGCCTGTCCGACTGCAAGCGAAGGGAAGGATGAACTTCCTGAGGAGGAAGAAAAAGAAGAAGCGAAAGAAAGCGAAAGCAGCAAAAAGTAAAAAACTCCTCCCTCAGCTGGAACTTGGAACTTACGCGGCCTTTTCAGCTGCTCCAGCTCCTTGAAACCCTCGTTGCCCCACTGTCGCAGAACCTCCCCAAGTTTTTGTCTCTCAGCAAAGGTATATATATATATATATATATATATATATATATCTGTTGTGTGAGCACGTCGCGGAGCCCGGGCGGAGCGGCGGAGCGGCGGAGCGGCCTCCGGCCGGTGCACCGGGCCTTCGAGTCTCGTCGCATCCACACGCTCACAACTTTATCCTACATCAGCACACCGCGTGCCGCCTTCCTCGCCACGCGCATGACTCTGCATGGTCTCCAGCTCCTGCAGAGGTTCAACAACAGGCCATATGCCACTATGCACAGTAGGTATTGCTCCCAAACCGGCAGGTTTTGCGGGGGGGCGGAGTCGGCGATTGTCCTGTGTGAAGCCCGGGTCTGCACCACGCGAGTTCTCTTGGTCTCTGAGACTCCTCGCTCCAGCTTGCGCAGGCTTTGGTCCCTTATGGCCTATATAGTGCCTCCTTATGAGTTCTCATGCGGTGCAGCTCAAGCGCATTGCGGAAAAGGCGAGCAAGAAGCGTTCCTGCATGTATGCCCCAGACCGCCAGAGTCTTGTGAACAAATCACGAAGCCACAAAGCCTGCCTCTTGAGTGTACTTCTTCTGGGCCAAGAAGCTACCGGTCCCCTGCGAAAGGTCATCATCTGGCCCTTTGCACATCTCCGGCCCGGCCCGCCCGGCCCCGGCCAGGCACCTTCTTAGCATTTTCGTAGAGCCCCGAGGTGTCCGGCGGCACCGCGCTGATCAGCGGATCTGAGGACTCCTAGACCGAGAACGCAACCCAGTCGTCTCGCTGGTATGGGTGCTTCTTTAGCCGCAAACCTGCCCCGGAAGGCCCCCTCTCCCTGCCTGCGAAGCACGAAGCACGGAAGCCCCCCACACACACTGTTCGCGTGCAGCGGCCAAGAGGGCCTCCATCAGCTCCGAGGCCCGGCTCCGCTCCCAGTACGCACCTGCAGCACTGCACTAAGAGAGCGTCCAAGGCACCCCTCCATTTTCTCGACTCCGTGGCCTCCTTTGCGAACCGAAGCCATGAGCGGTCTCAAACCTTTGTTAACGGGGGTTTCTCTGCGTTTGCTCTCGATCCGACACCCCTGTTGTGCCTCACGGCCATCTACCGCTGTCGAAGGTCCGGTGTCGCGGACCCAGCATCGGGCAAACTGCAGAACACAAACAATGATTGCCAAAGTCTTCCCCAACAACGGACAACAGTTTGAAGATTCGATAACTCCTCAATCTAAACTGCCACCTGCGGTCTGCAACAGGCAATGGATGATACCACAAAGCCGAAGCGCAGGATCCGATTGGCTCACTTCGTCAGCTTCATTTTCCTCTTTGATCTGCCAACTCTCAGCCCACCGAGTCGGCCCCTTAGGGGCAGAATCGGTTGAGAATTACAAGTGGCAGGCGCTGCGCAGAGCAGGCGCGGCCGCACTGTAGTAAATGCGGCTCAAAGGCCCACGACATGAGATTCCTACGTCGTACGTGCACATTGGCTTTCATGAACTCTGACTTTGAAGCCTAGGCGCCCTCGAGGCCTAGGCCTAGGACTGGCGCACGCCGACTTCGACGACCCGGCCAGCCCCAAAGGCCCGCAAAGGGTTGAGCCTTGGCGTCTGCCAGGGCCAGGGCTCGACAACGACTCAGAGCCGCCTGCCTTGCCAGGGCCGTGCTGCTGTCGGTGCGCCTCAAAGCGGATTCAGACAGCCGCTCTTCAGGCTACCCTGGCCCTTACCTGTGGGAATTCTCGAAGCGCACTCGCAAGTCCTTCAAGAGCAGCTATGTCTTTCATCAAACACTCGACTGGAGGCTGTGAGGGTGCTTCTGGCAGCGGACCTGGTCTGCTCTGCCGACATAATTAACCAGCTTGACATTCGTTCTCACTCGAGTGCGCATGTTATCTTTTTGAGGGCTGACTTGTGGCATCGCTGTTCCGTAATCTGTGCCTATCTGTTGCGTAGACTTGTGTGGTTTTGAACCTCTTGTCAGAGTCTGCAGTTAATCTATGCGTGTCCGCGGCTTTGATGTGGTGGAATGGAGCCGGGTAACCTGTTCGAAGGGTTTACTCAGCACAGTCCAGGTTTGCCACCCAACATCTTCGCTTATGGCGCAGGCTCACCTGCTAGGGCTTGGGTTTTGGCACCCAATGTCACCGTTTAGGCTTTAACGTTTGCCACCCAACATGTTGTTTTCGGGTCTACGGTTTGGTTCAAGCCTTTTGTTTCCAGAGTGCGCCGTGGCGGTGTGCGTTTGCGACATTTCGAGAGTTGTATTTTGGATGAGTTTTAGTGATTCGGAGTATTCTTACATCGCACGTTATACTCAAGATCTTATGTCGGAGCTGAGTTTCAGACATGATAATTTGCTATGGAAAACTGGTCTGGGATATCAGGCATTGTGATGAGCATTGTGATGATAGAGGTTCTGGATGGTTCTGGGGGTCGAGGACTAAAGCCATGGCCTCTAGATGTACTTCCAGATATGATCAATTCTTTTTTGTTTTTTGACCGCCCACCCCCCCCGCAAGGGCCTGTTGGAGGCCTTGTAGATAGGTGGGATTCCCGGCTCCCACAATCCATGTCCCGAGCAGAGCGAGAAGTGTGGATAGGTGGCTAAACATACCCTGAGTTTTAGAATAAGAAAATGGGTGACGAACGCAAAAGCCCTTGAAGGGATGACCTGGTCCGCCAGACACATAACCGAACTTAGGGCAGTGTTCGCAACAAGTTTAGACGGGTGGCAAATCCTTAATCTTAAACCTGGACAAACCGATGCAATGAAAAACATACGCGGTTAGAAGTACTGCACAAAACCTATGGAGCACAAAGCGCAGGGGACGCACTATTTTACTTGAGCCAAAAGCCGTCAGGTTAGGGGTTTGCAGGGCTGTACATCTCAACACCCCTCCTACGACCAAAGGTCTTTGACCGCCAGGGCGTATCATGATACAGCCTTCGCTGCAACACTCTTGCCCTCTGAGAAAACCTGACCTATAGATGCCATATGCTTTGCAATGACTTTTGCAGTCAGTGGCTTCGTACATGCATCTGCAACGTTGTGAGCAGTCCCCACGGCTTCGATACTTATGTCCTTACGCTGTGCACGTTCCTGGACCCACAAGTATCTAGTCTGTACATGCCTCAGTTTCCCGAGGCCCCTTCGTGAGCACGTTCCCCTTGCGGCCGAGCTGTCTGACGAAACAACAGCTTCAACCTTGAGGTCCCATTGCTCCAGCAGAGCAACCATGCTCAGCGTGAGTGCTGCTCCCTTCACGATTGCGTAGTATTCGCTTTCTCCACTGCTGAGTGATATCGTGCTTTGTAGCGTGCTTGAACTCTTAGTGCAGTGGCGCCCAGCCATCAAGATAAGTCCACTCGTAGACCTTCTTGTAACCAAACAGCCTGCATGGTCTGAGTCCACGTAGCACCGCAGCTTCGTAAACATCTGCTGCGGCCTGAAAAGAATCTGAACGCGGGGCTGTCCCTTCAGATATCTTCCCAGACGCTTTAGCCTCGACATATCGTACTCTGTTGGACTCTGCATCCGTCGCGCCAGGGTCTTAACAGCTTCAGCTATATCTGCCCTGTCTTGCGACAGATAAGACGCCCGCATAACCACCGACCTGTAGAGTGACGCTTGGTCGGGAGGTAGCGGGGGCATTGTCATGCTTGCCAACACGCTTTGCAGAGTCTGCTTCTCAGCCGGGGTAGTCACCGGCTTGGCAGTCTCCAGGCCCAGGCTTTTCACCACCATCTCTGCATGCCTGGGATCTGCCTCGTACTTCACCGTTCCAGTGGCTTTGTCATACTCGATGATCCTGTTGAGCACCGTCAGGGTAGTACCGTCGGTAGCATCAGGCCCGATACACCCATCAATCCGATACTCGAACTTCTCAGCGAGAACACCTTCCACGAACTTCTGTCCATCGTCGTCACCCAGGACAAAGAAGTCGTCGCCATGGACTAGCATCCTCAGGCCACGTTCGCTGCAACCAAAGATCGCAGGCCACGCACTGCCGTTCTTGATGCCATGACCGTCCATTAGCTTGGTGTAGGTCTCCTGCCAGACAGAAGACGCATCTTGTGTCCCATACATCGTGCGTTGAAGCAACGCGCAATACCCTTCCTGCTCGTCACCCTCGGGCAGACTGGTATACACTTTGCGCCTGCTTTGTCCATAGAAATGGGCACGGGATATATCGAACAGTTTGAGTTTCAGGGGTTTACCCTGTGCACTCACCTTCTGTGATACGAGAATGGAGCATAGCAGTTTCAGTGCCTCCAGGGGTGGCATAGCACTGAACAGTTCGTGCTCCGGCAGGTCGTCCGTCCGAGACGATTTCTTCACTTCTCTTACCACAAGTCTGCTACGATAGTTGGGATTGCTTGCGTCTCCTTTATTTCGGTCGAGCCATTTCAACGTAATGGGGGCATGTCCAGTGTCCTCATAACATTGCTCCAACCGGACTTTGCGGTACACCTCCTGTTTCCGCACCCATTGCAGTTCCTCTGCACGGGCACGCTCGACGTGGTCCGCATCCAGCTGTGCGCCCGTGATGGTATCCCAATACACCCTGTCACCCGTGGGTACGTACTGGGACCAGTCCACCTCGAGCTCTGGCTCGTCTGGCACCGGGCCGGCTGTGTGCGCAGTGACCGCGCTCAGCTCGCCCGTTTCCAACAGAACACCCTTGAGGCCCGTAAGGATGGCCTTCGCCAAGGGTGCCGGGTACTTTCCAGGCTCACACGCTGTACCCTCAACGATCTGCGGATTCCGCTGCATCGGTTGCACGCACTGTGCCTTCAACCTCGCGGCCAAAATGGCCGAGTTGGTCACCCACCTTGTCACACGCTTCACGTAGCTGGCGCCCAAGCGCCACTTGCACACAGGACCTTCCACCACCTGCACCCCTTCGTGCAGTCGCAGGTCCCGAAAACTTGGCTCTTCCCAGCCACCGCAGCCGCGCGGGTGCTCGTAGAGAAAGTACCGCCCGCTCGCGTGCTGCTCCTCAAAACACTCCACCTGGTTGCGAAGTTGGGCTTTCCCCTCCTCCGCCAGTTGCTTTTGCGGCTTGGCACTCTTCTTGAACAGCGTAGCCGCAGGAGAAAAGGGTCCCGCAGGAAGCGACCCTACGAGAAGCAACGGCTTCTCGGTACACAGCTTGGCCTTTAAACACTCGGCCTCTTGACCTTTGCAAGGTCCCACCGTTCTCCTCCTTGCTTCGGCGCTTTGAGGTCCAAGGAAAACCCGACTTCAAGTCCCAGCTTGTTGTGGACCTCCGCCAGTCGCCCAGTGGCCTCTTCAGGCCCTCGCTTGCCCAGGCTCTTCAGAAGCCCGGCAACCTCACACAAGTCACTGTCACCAGGGTCGTCCACGACCAGCTGTGCTAGCTCTAAAAGGTTAGCCTCAGGCATAGCATCGTCTGTCTGCTGTGCCTGCTCTCCCCCGGACTCGGCCTGGCCACCGGCCTGACTCGGTCCTCCAGCAGGTGCTCCAGGCACCACTGGGCTCCAAAACGCTGAGTGGCTGAGCGAAGACCCTTCAGCGGCAGACCCGCTAGAAGGCTGGACCTCCACCACTTGTGGCTCCTCCAGTTGGTCCTCCCAGTAGAGGTCTTCAGGGTCCACCCCTGGCCGTTTAGTGCCTTTGGTCTCCGCCCGGCCCTTCTTGTCCACAGCTTCCTCTGTAGATCCTTCTTGCTTCCGCTTCTCGCCCACAGCCGCATCCTCCGGCGCACCTAGCGCTGTAGCGGCCTGTGTCTCGCTCTCCTGTGCGTCAGGGCGGCCGTCCATGGCCGCACTCTTTCGCTTCATGGCGCGTTCCACGCGCGCTTTCCCCTAGGCGTCTTAGACAATTTCTCCTGGATTCTTCCACGGCAAAACTGGTTGTGAGTTACCGCGGGCAAATCCAGCATGATTGCCTCGCAGCCTGGACACCCAGGCGTTGGATCGTTTTCCACGTCCGACCTCATCACGTAGAGGTTCCTTGCTCCAGAGGCCCTTGTAGCAACCTCTGTTGGGCCCACCATCTCTGGCAGATCCACCTTCACCGGCGCCTCTGTGCGCCTGCTCTCCTCGGATGCCATGGGCTTCCAGGGCACCCCTTGCAACTTGTCGAACTCGTCGTCGTTCCAGCGTTCCTCGGGTGACATCCTCCTGAGAGAGCCACCCCTCAGAACGCCCTGCGTGGTCATCACCAAGGCGTCGCCGTTACGCGCATGGGTTCCCACGTAGTGTCCGGCCAGCACCTTTGGGTCCGTGCCCTTGCTCAGGTGCTTCTTTGCGTACGCAGCCAGCGGTCTGAACCAGACCCGCTCTCCAAAACACACACAAGGCAGTCTCCAAACCTTGCCCTTCAGCCTTTCGTAAGCTGTGCGGCCGTCCTGGCCAATCCTATACCTCGAGATAAGAAAGTCGGAGTGCCTGCTCACCCACGCCATCATGGGGTGATTGTCGTGCAGTTTCTCCTTCTTTATTCTCGACCGGAGGTCAGACAGCAAGGCCCGAACCTCCCGCTTTGTCTCCTTGACCGAAGCCTCGACCCGGCCATTCGCCCTAGAGTCTCCAGTCTTCGACTCCTCAGGCAGTACCTCAACGCCCTGTATGCTTTGCTTCGCAAGCTCCTTGAGCGCCTTCAAAGATGCCTCGTTGTCCGATTTCAGGATAATCTTCCGATACCCCGTTTCGCCAACACACGCAGCAACAAAGTTTGCCGCAAACGGGTCGGCGCCTTTCGCAGGGATGGCGCTCGACCACATCATCTTCGTAAAATCATCCTTCACTTGCAGGTGTGGTTGCCCCTCCTCCGAAAAGAAGAAGTAGTCGAAGGAGATCGTGGGGATGCTGCGGTCCTCTTCTTTCACCCTCGGGTGTCTCTCCAAGTCGCCTCGTGCCCGCACGCAGTGGGGGAACCAGCTTCTATGGATCACGTGGCCCGTGGCCTCGTGCTCTTGGCGCGTGGGCGCCCGGGGCACACGTGCCCTCCGCTGCTCACCGCTTCCTTCCCCTTCGGGGTCGGCCGGTCCATCGGACCGACTCGCCCCCACACCTTCACCTTCACCTTCTGCCGCACCGGGGCCGGCCTGGCCAATGGCCTGGCTCGCCCCTGCCGCCTCGGGTTCGGCCAATCCCCGGGCCCGACTCGACCCACTCGCGCCTGCCTTGGGCGCGGCCGGACCAATGGTCCGGCTCGGCCCTTTGCCTCGCGCTCTTCTTGCCTTACGGCTTGCGCGCCTGCCGGTGTTTGCCTCCTCGCTTGTGCCCTCGCCGAGGGCACCGACCGTCGCACAGTCCTTCTCTTTGCTCTCCTTGACCCACAGGTCGAACACGTAGATGCCCCGGCGCTCTTCCATCTCCAGCACGTCCTTGCCGTGCCCCGCCTCAGCGGTCTCCCGAAACGTCTTCTCCAGCGCCTTGGCGATCTTGCCGCCTTTGGGCATCACGTACCCTTTGCTGCCCATCAGCAGCACGTGGTTGTGCTTCCCCACAGCTGCGCCCGAAGCCAGCATGCGGTGCACGTCGGTGACGCGGCCCTCGATCTTGCGCCCGACGCCTGCAGCGTCGTAGCCCTGAACCAAGGCTCCACCCTGGTCCTCGATCACCTCGCCACTTGCGGTGCGGTAGCACTTCTCGCTCGCCGCGGTCTTCTTTGTGGCCGCCCTTGCCACCTCCACGGGTATGGCCGAGATGGCCGCCCCCGTGTCGAAGTTCACCGTCACCTTCTTGTAGCCGTCCCAGCTTTCCTCCTCGCACGCCCCACTAAGGTGCGCAAGGTCCAACGGCTCTTCCTTCGCGTGCTCCCGCTTCGGTGCCTCGCGCAGCACGATCGGTGGAACCAGAGGTCCCACTCGCACCTTGCCGCCTCTGCCGGTGCCGCCGCAACAGCTGGTACTTCTCACGCTCCAGCTCGTCGTGCACGAAGCGGCACTGCTTCCTCTGGCACACCCCGCGGCTGAACTCCGAGCACACCGAAAACTTCGCCTTCTTCACCAGCTCCGGGTCGTGCCCAAAAGGGCACCGCGCTCGGGTGCACTCCCCGAACCACAGGAGGTCTCGGCAAGCCTCCTTCCTCCGGCTCGCCGCCTTCACTCTTTTCTTTCTCGCGTCCTTCTTTTCCTCGGTCATTTCCCGCACGCTTCTTCTGCAGGTCCACGCGCTTGCGTTCCATGACCTTCCGCTCGTCTTCCTTGGTCTCCGTCTTGAAGCGGCTCACCTCCGCCTGGCTGAGCTTCCGGTAGGTCCTTGCCGAGGCCACGAAGGTAGCCTCCTCACCTTTGCGCAGGTCTCCGCGCTTCACCTGCCGCGTGCTCCCGGTGAGCACCTGCAGCCTTCCCTGGTCCGTCTCTTCCACGGCTTCCGTCTCCAACCCAGGGGCCGCCTCGTCGTGGTACTCCTCTTCTTTCACCGGTCTGGAGTCAAACTCCCGATGCCACGCGCGCGCTCGCTCTCCAAGCGCTCCTTTGCACGGTCCGCCGTGCCCTGCTGCCGGTGCAAGGCAGCTTTCCTTCTCTTCTTTTCCTCGTGCCACGCCTGGCTGTGGCTCACTCCCGCTGCCACGGCCTTGTGGTACCTGGCGTCGTGCCAGGTCTGGTCCAGCACGGTCTCGGCCGTGAGCTGTGGCTTCTTGCTTGCCTCGCGGTCCGCGGCCTTTGTTCTCTCCTTCAGCACCTTCACCTCCGCGTCGATCTCCCGAATCCTGGCCTCTAGGCGCTGCACCTCCTCGGGGTCCTCTTCCATTTCCAGCAGCTGCGCCTTCTCTCGCTTCTCGGCGGCCAGGTTCGTGATCTCGAGCATCTCGATGGTCCGGTGCATCAGGGTTCCCGACGCCGCGCCGCTCGGCCGCGCGGGCAGGTCCTTAGACCCACTGGCCTGCTCACCCCGGACCCCGGCCTGGCCACTGGCCTGACTCGGGTCCTCCTGCGCGTGGCCGGCCTTCTTGGAAGCTTTTCCGCTCAGCCTCCGAAAGCGCGAGAGGCCCTTCAGCAAATCGTATTGGTTGATGCGCTTCACCTGCTCCGGGTCCACGGCGTCCCTGTAGGCCCCCTTTTGCTCCTCGGTCAGCTCCCGGAACTGCTCCAAGCTGAGGCCCTTGACCACACAAATGGTCTTGTCCACCGAAAACTCAAAAGCCTCCAAGGGGGTCCACAGCAGCACCTTCGACTTGTGGTCCGCGCTCATTTTGGCAAGTCGGCACGTGGGGCACACATGCCGAAACTCGTCGTCGTGCCGCTGGTCGCACTCCTCGAAGTAGCAGTACCCACAGGGCTCCACGCACACCTCCATGTACTCCTCGTCACTGTCGGTGGCGCCGCCTTCCCCTAAGCTGTCGTAGCCCGGGTCGCCCGGGTAAAGCAGCACTTCCACGTAGCTGCTGCTGCTCTCGCTGCTTTCTTCTTCTTCCTCTTTCATCTCTTCCTCTTCTTCTTTCATTTCTTCCTTCGGCTCCCTTGCGGGGCCGGGGCCGGCGGAACTAGAAGCTCCACTCGCCCCTTCACCAGGTCCCTGTTCCAAGCTCTCCGCAGCCTTGGGCTCGTGGCTGCTTTCGCCCGGCTCCTTCTTCACCGCGGCCCCCTCGACAATGGTGGGCCTATAAGGCCGACTCGTGTCATGGAGGCCCTCGTCCTCGCTTTCGCTAAGCGAGACCTCGGTGAGCCCGGCGATCGCGAGGAAGTTCGCCTCCGGCTCCTCGCTCTCCTCCTCTGGCTCGGCTTCTTCCACATTGTGGAGGTTCTTTCCTCCTTTTCCTTTTCCCTTCTTTTCTTTTCCTTTGCCCTTCTTGTGCGGCTCGCCTTTCCCTTTCTTCTCCTTCTTTGGCAGCCAGCAGTTCGCCGCCAGGTGGCCCACCTTCCCGCAGTTGTGGCACTCGCGGGTTTCCTTTTGCTTGCCCCCGGCTGCCTTTCCGCCTTTTCCTTTTCCTTTGTCCTTTCCTTTCTTGCCCTTGCCCTTGTCAAAGGCACCGACATCCATTGGGGCAGGTCCTTGGTCGTCCTTTGACGCACCGGGCAGGCTCAGCTGCACCTTTGCTCCAAGCCTCGTCTCCAAGTAGCTGGCCAACTCGCCCCGGACCTCCTCGTACGTGGTCAGCCGGTGGCGCGACAGCTGGAGATGTTTCTCCAGGTCGCTCGGGCACATGGCTTCCAGCACAGCCACCTTTATATCTTCATCCAGCTGCGCCCTTGATCCATCTGGGCGCCGCCGCGCCTCAAACTGGCGCACCGCCTCTTCCCAAAGCTCTATCGAGGAAGAGAGGTCCTCGATGCGCTGGCACTTCTGCGGTGCAAGCACCGACCTCAAGAGCGCTCGCCGGCGCCCTCCGGTACTTGGGTCGTACCGCCGGTGGAGCTTCCTCCACGCCTCAAGCCCGGCTCCCCGGCCGGCGCTCCTCACCAGCGTAAAGGCCTCGCCCTCACACAGCGTCTGCAGCACCGCGTGCAGTTGCGCATCCTTCTCCTCAAAGTTCGGCACGTGCACCACCGCTGGCGTCGTCGGGCCGAACAGCGCCTTCAGCCTCGTCTCCGTAAGCTGCTCATCGCAGTCCTCTGCGTACGCCAACGGCTGCTCGAGGTCCTTGTGCACACTCAGGATAAAGGTCTCCAGCCGCACCTTCCATTGCAGAAAGCTTCCTTCGCTTCCATGGCGCCCGAACTTGTCGGGCTTCGCCAAGCCCTTGTTGTCCACAAGGGTCACCTTCTCTTCCCTGGCACGGGCTCTCTCCAAGGTCTCCCTTTGCACGGCTGCCAGTGCAGCCATCGCCTCCTGAAGCCCATGCCCACCGGTCTGCAACGCCTGCACCCGGTTGTTCAGCTCGTCCTCCCTGCGCCTGCTTTCCAGCAGCTCATTCCTTAGAGCTTGCAGCTCTGCTGCAACAGCCTCGGCCGTCACAGACATCTGGCCAGTCGCTTTCTAAAAGCCTGGCTCAAAGGGTGCTCCTGCAGCAGGTGGCCCAGAAAGGCAAAGTACCGCTGCTGCTTTCTCACGCCGCGTGCTTTACGCACCAGCTTGGCCCACCGCTCTTCGGCGGCCTGGCGTCTCCTCCGTTCGAGGGCTCGGTCTCGCCCGGCCGAAACAGCCGAGTGGACCGACCAACCCAAGAACACGCAGAGCAGCGTAATCAGCACACTTCCCAGGTCCAGTGAACCGTAAAAGTGCTCCGCTACCATGCACAAAACCTATGGAGCACAAAGCGCTGGGGACGCACTATTTTACTTGAGCCAAAAGCCGTCAGGTTAGGGGTTTGCAGGGCTGTACATCTCAACAAGTACCGAATTCTCCCAAACCCATCATTCGAAAATGAAAGATTGGCGCAGGAAAATGAAACCTATCAGTAGGGCGATACTTGCTTCGAAAACCAACATGAAGCTATTAAACCCTACATAACGTGGTTGGGCCTCCAAACCCTCGCCGGGATAGTCGGGTAAGTTATGTGGCACACCCAAATCCCCGAAGGAAATGTTGGGCCGCAAACCATTGGTTCTTTCTAAAGATGCATGGAACTTCAAAATCGAGGAAATCACAGGGGCATAGTTAGCAACAGTAGTGCGTGTGCAAATACGGGTCCGAAACACAACTCTATAATCGAAGCTATGATAGGGTTTCCAAACATGACATGTCACAGTAACAGATGTTTGCTCCCCGAAATCCAAGGCTTCTCCATTAGACGATGGGTGGCAAAACTTAAGCAACTTAAAAGGTGACAGGGCTACCAGAACTTTACACCCCACAGGAAGTCCCTGATTACTTCACATGTGGTTCTACGTATTCGCGATGGTCTGCATGTCAGTATATTCGTCCAGCGAGACCGATGCAGCCCATGCTACTTTGTTTCCATATACAACCCAACATGAGTAGAAATATAAATAGATGCACATAAATTAAACCTTGCCTCTGACAGTAACTCTTTACACCTTCCTGGACCCTTATTTTTGGTCTCATCATAACAATCGAATGCGTCTCATCATAACAATAGAATGGGTCTCAACATAACAACAAATAGGTCTCATCATAACAATAAAATGGGTCTCTTCATAACAGTAAATAGGTCTCATCATAACAATTAAATGGGTCTCATCATAACAGTAGCATGGGTCTCATCATAACCACAAATGGGTCTCATCATAACAATAAATGGGTCTCATCATAACAATAAGAAGGGTCTCATCATAACAATAAATAGGTCTCATCATAAAATAAAATCGGTCTCATCATAACAATAGAATGGGTCTCATCATAACAATAAATAGGTCTCATATATCAACAAATAGGTCTCATCGTAACAATAAATAGGCCTCATCATAACAATAAAATGGCCCCATCATAACATTACATGCGGCTTATCAGAACACGTATGTGAACCGTATGTGGGTCTCAACCTGGGCCCCATCGCAATATTAAAATGGGTCACATCAGAACACTAAATGGGGCTACGATAACACGTGTTCGGGTCTCGAACAGGCCTCAACATAACACTTATTTGGGTCTCATCATCATCATCATAATAAAGGGGCTTCCTCAAATACCTTAGGTAGATCTCATCATCACACCAAACAGGGCTCATCATAAGACTTATTTGGGTCTCGAATGGGCCTCGCTCTGGGCCCAGATCGCTACACTTGTGGGACTTATGGACTTACGGGCATGGGCCTTATCGCCTACTGGGACCTCATCATACCCCTTACGGAACCTTGTCATAAGAATGATCCCTGAATGCACTCCCGAGCCTCGGGCGACCATTCTTTCCTTCGTCGGCGCAAAAAGATCGGAGATCTGGGTCACCACCACGTGGCTTGGAACATCGGGATTCCGACTTGAAATCTGAAATACTGTATTCTGCTATGCAACCCCCGGACATAGGACCTGGAAGTATGTAACTAAAGAACCGTCGGAATGCACGATGGGAACGTGTAGCCTGCATGCCGGCACTGTTCGGGCCACACAGCAGGCAATCTGCTCGCACCAAACAGGCATCTTATATCAAGCTTTGCAAGGGTGAAAGACAAGGTTGAAGAGGCCATCCAGCTCCTAAGTGATGTAGGCATAAGCTCGAAAGTTTAGCTTCTGATGCCCTTGGCCAGATCAATGACATCGTGCAATACAGCTTTCACTTGGCACCAGCCTTGCCATTCAGCACCTGTGCCACCCGCTGCTGGAGAGTAGCATGAATTCACCAGCCGCGCTTTGTCACACCGGCTCGGGCACGATTCACCAGCCCTTGGCGGGTTTCGCCTGTTTTCATGAAGACCGCTTGCGCAACCGTAGCATTCCCAATCGAGCTCGCGATCGTTGAAAGCACAATGTGCTGGGAATCTGAGGGCTCGCACTCAAGGAAAGCTTTCAAGGCCTGAGTTGTATCATGCACCTCCTTACGGACTTCAGCGTATTTGGCCTTGTCGTTGAAATCGGCATGGCTTGTGACTCCCGCAATGCACTTCAGAAACTTCTGAGCGCCTAGGATTGCTGGCATTCCATAGGCCAGCAAATGGAAGTTCATCTGCAGGCCCCGCCTTGTACAAGGATTCAAAATTTTTCTGGATCAAAGAAACCAAAATGGAGAACTGCCTGCACACCTTGGCTGCACAACCCATCACAAAGGTTTTCGCTAAGTCGTGTCCTGTCAGCCTGTCGCCCCAACCGCTGCACGAGCACACCGAAGAGCATGTGTTACCTTCACGGGCTCCTGCTCCATGGCTGCCGCCAATGCCATGATGCACTTCTCGTAGTGCTCGCCGCTAGTTGATGACATGAGGCAGCTCTCAGTGGATGAAGCCGCAGTCAGCTCGGACAGCCATGATGTCATGTGCACAACCATCTTGGCCAAAGGAAGAACGGAGCCTGCAGAGCACAACGATGCCGGCAACACGGGAATCTCGTTGTCACCACTTGTGATTGTCATCGGAGCTCAATCTTGAGGCAAGCCAACATTATAGACAGTGAAGACTGCCGAATAATCCACAATGATCTTGTCGTCGTCAACGTGGAATTCCCCGACAATGTCTTTCAGCAAAACCTGCTCGGGATCGTTCTGCTCGCACATGAAGGACACGAAATTCCGGAAGCTGCTCGCCTCTGCAGCTAGCACTAGCCTTGCAATGCTGAGGTGGGCAGTGTGCCTAGTAACTTGGGTGACATTCCGAGGCCTAGGGAGAAGTTGATAAGTTAAATTAAGGATAGGATAGGATAGGATAGGATAGCATAGGATAGGATAGGATAGGATAGGATAGAATAATTGGCAAATTGGGTCCGTAACCTATGTATGTGCACTATAACACGACGGTCAAAGCTTTGATTTATGCTCCAAGACTGGTATAATGTCTGGTGATAGCAATACCGATAAAACGCAGGAGTCAAAAACACACAAATCACCCCAAAAGAAAAGAGGGTGCTAACCGAACCCGGCGTTTGAACGAAGCCTTCCTTGCTGGGGGTCCGGTTTTCGGAGCGGCAAGCACATGAAAGTCAAGAAAACCGGACCCCGCCCGGCCTTGGAAGGCTTTGAACGAGCCATCGGGACGAGGGATGCCGCTCTGTCTTCAGAGCAGCAAGCAGCTGTTAGAAGAAGCAGCTGCAGTCACGATGAGAGCGTGCAATTGTCATGGTAAACAAGAAGCGAAACACTGTAGAAAAACACTGTTCATGGTACGACCCGCAGGAGCCAAAAGAAACACAGAGCACTGAAACAAATCCACACGCACCGTCCGCCGTCCGCGCACCCGATATCCCGCTCTCGCCCCTCGCACAGCACCCTCCCCGCCCCACCGTCCGCGCACCCGATATCCCGCTCCCGCCCCTTGTCACCGCCCTATCAAGATAGTTGGACAGCGGCCCGCTCATGCTCCAAAACACTTTTCGCTGTCGCACCAAGTCTCCGGCTTGAGCCACGATCACGTGGCGGTCTTGCGGCTCTGCAGCTGTTCTGGTCAAACGCGGTTAGCGATCACAACAGGATTGTTGTCACAGTACCCCCTAATAAGGGTTGACCAGAACACTGCTGCCTGAGTTTCGTACTCCTTGAGCAGTCTGCTCACTGAGGCCGCGTGGCTTCTAGAGCGGTAGCTGGGATCGCTGGCTCGATTCTTCAGCTCACTCTGTACATCCACTAAACTCAAGAGTCCGCTACGGAGGAACTGGTCCAGGGCGCCGTTCGCCTTCATGGGGTCCGACTTGGTCAGCGCATCGACCACCATTTTTTGATGCGGCACCCACTTCACCATTGACTTCGTTTCTTGCAGATCACGCACTATTATGGCGAGCTCGAGCGAGCTCCTCCTGTCTTGTTTCCCCTGAGGGTGCTCCTTCAGCAGGCAGTCGAACAGGCTCTTGGCGTCCGTCACTGAACACTGAGGCTGCCTGGATGGCAGGTGTACGTCGCCCTTCATCACAAGCATGTGCGGACTCAAGCAGTTGCGCCATTCGCGCAGCTCCACGTCGTGGTAGATTGCGTCGCGAATCATCACCTGCAGCCAGTCCGCCTCCGAGATGCCCTGCAGCATTGCCTGCGTCTCGCCCCCGAAAGTAGAGAAGACTTTGCGATAGCTTGCTGCTTCTCCAGGCCAAAGGGGAAGCTCGCACCTTGGCGTTTCCCACGGGCAAAGCCTCTGCAAGAAACACCATCCAAGCTCCTTGGGTGCTGTCCGCCGGAAGTCCTAGCTCGTCGCAGGTATCATGCTTGCTCCCGATTCCGCCGGCGTCTGAGACGACTACAAAGGCGGCGTCCCTGGGATCCATTCTCCAAAGTGTCAAGGCGCGGCCCGAGGTGTTGCGCAGGTAGTTGATGTTCTTGTGTTGAGGATGGTGACGTCCTCGACCGTGGCAGCCTTCAACTTGCTCGCCAAAATGGAAGCCATGCCGCATACCTCCGGTCTTGACTCCTTCGCAATCCAGTTCACCTTGTAGATAGCCGAGCGGAACGCCTCGAACTCCTCTTGTGTCAGTGGGGAGTCCTTCTCAGAGCGCCTGCCCTTGTTCAACAGCACCGGGTGGACCTGCTCCTCGATGTACTTCTTCTGGTCGATGAGGACCCTGTCGTGGAGCACCCGCACCATGCGGCCGGCGTACTCGGCCTCGTCATCTTCCCACTTTCCGAACTTGAAGCGCCCTTCAAAATCCTTTCGCAGCCCCGCTCGGATGTCGGGCAAGGCGGTGATGATGAAGTCGTCCACCTCGATCAGCACCTGGGCCTCGTTCTTCCCGGCGCGGTAGCGTGCCCACCAGCAGGGTTCGATCAGGTTTCGGACGAAACCTTGCTCCTGGAGGAACTCGATGACCGTAGCTCGCCATTCAGCAGGGGCATCGTCCAGTCCATAAACGGGCACTTCTATAACTATCAGATCCCCTGGTTCCAGTCCCAGGCCCTCACAGGGCTTGGCGTACAGAGGTCCCCTCGCCCGGCGTAGCTTGCGACTCTGGCAAAAGGCGTTCTTGACGTCCGAAAAGCTGAACTTGTGGCCGAGGTTCAGTCCGGTCTGACAGAAGGCCATGAGCCCCTCGGTGGAGGGTGTCGGCGCGAAGGCGCTGAGGATCTCCGTGTCCGGATCTGTATGTCCGGCCAAGCACCACCTGGACTTAGCCTTCCATTTCCCGACTCCTGGGAGAGGCTTGCGACGCCTGACCAGACGCGAGTCGAGGATGCGGTCGGGAAACTTTTCCCGCACACGGGCCGCCTCTTCGCCCTTGATGACCCTTACGGCCTTTGTATCGAGGATTGCCTTCCATTCAATCTGGTCACTCTCCTCGAACATTCGACGCTGCTCCTCGCTCATCTTCCGGATGTCCACCTCGTCACTTCTGCTCGCCACGAAAGACCATTCGCCGTCGGGCTCCAAGGTCCACAGGTTCTCGTTGAGGATGTCGTCCAACTCGTCCCGACGTCGGGATCGAGATCTCGGGGTACTGCTGGAGGTAGCCTCGGCGCCGCCTCGCAGTGCTTCCTCGGCTCTTCGTCCTCGGTCCAAGGCCTCCAGCACATGCCTCATGGGAGTGCCCGGGGCTCGTGGACGCGGTGTCTCCGTGGTGGGGTCGTCGGTCCGGCACTGCTTGCTTTCTGGTTGCCGGCATCTGCATCCTGCCTTCCCTCGGAGATCCCTGGTGGTTGATTGCTCTCCGGCTCTTAAGCTGAGCCGGCTCCTGCACTGACGATCTCCTGGAGACATTGGGAGGCGTCGGTGCGGGTGTCCTCGGCTGCTGATGAGGGCCGGCATCTTCTCCTGGAGGCAGTAGACCCGGAGGGATCGGGATGACTTCCTGAGGTGCTTCTTGAGGCAGGCTCGAGAGGGGCTGCTTCTCCTTCGGCCTCGTGCTGCACCGGGGCGCACTGCTCCGCAGGTTCCGGTGGGCCTTCTCGAGCCACATCCACTGCGCCGGCACTGCTCCCCGACATCACCTGCCTCAGAAGTTCCGCCATCTCCGGATCTGTCGCCAGGTGTCTCCCTAGCACTTCCGAAGGAAATGCAGCTCGAAGCTGCTCCGGTGCGCACCTCCATAGCCGACTCCTCATGGCAACGTAGACGACTGATCTGCTCTGAAGAATGACCAGGCCCGGTCCCACCTCGAGGTGGGGTGAAGTTGATCGCCGGGGCGTCCTCTTCTGAAGCAGGATACCCATTGTCCGGGAGACCAAGATCTCAGAGGCGTACTGGACGTGGAAAGGGCTCTCTTGATCGCCTCCTTGCTCGTCTCCGCCAGTGCTAACTGTCGTCCTCGCTCACGAATGGCAGCGCTCTTACGAAACTCAGCTCCAGCCTCGTCCATGCCGGCGGGGTCGTAGAAACCGTCACTGATGACTTGCTGCCCGTTGTTGTTGTCGCTGAGGAGCTCGCCTGGCACTCGCGGCAACTCACCGTACACGAGTTGGACTGGAGTGTAGCCTCCTGAGTTGAACCAGCGATTCTTCGCTGAGACCACGGCCGCGAGGAGCTCGTCGATGTCATGCAGGTTCTCGACGATGCCCATTCCCGAGTCCAGCTCTTGGGTGATCCGCTGCTTTAGCCAGCCGTGCCGCTCCGCGCGGCTGTTCTGCCACGGCGACTCCGGGGCGGTTATGTGGTGCAGTATTCCCAACTGCTCCACCCCTCTTTCGCACCTCCCTTGGAACTCCTTGCCCCCGTCGGTAATGATGAGGCTGGGCGGTCCCATGAAACGCACCCATGTGGTCACGAAGGTCCTCCAGGTGGCGGCTGCGCTGGGGGTTCTGGTGCCGGAGCCGTCAATCCTTTGGGCCATCTGAAAGTTCGTGCCGTGACAGACGGCGTTGAGGATGGGGATGCTCTCTCCGCGGTAGTGGATATAGAACACATCCATACTGAGAACTCGGTTAAAAGAATGCACCCGAGGGCACTGAGCCCGTCTTCTATGGTCCGGTCCTCTCTTAGCGGCACAGGCCTCGCAGTGGAAGTCGTCTCGCACGTATCGTAGTACATGTGGTAGGGCGCCGGCCGCTCGCAAAGTTCGAAGAAACCTCTCCTTCGGTGGGTGGCCGGTGTTCACATGGACACGATGTATCAGCTTCTTCTGGCTCTCGGTGACGATGGCCTTTTGCTCGGGCTCTGGAGCTCCCTCTGTTGGCCTTTGCTCGGGACCGCTTGGTTGCTCCTCGTCGGTCTCGGCCTCAATCTCGTCGACCGAGGTGTGGGAAGCGAAGGCATAGTTTGCGGTGATGCCGAGGACCTCCGATCGAACTGCTCGACTGATGGCTCTGGCCGCGCTGCTCCCTGATAGGGGGTCCCCTTCATATCCAAGGGTACTGAACCCCAGCTCCTCCAGGTGCGCCCTCTGATCCGGAGGGAGTTGCATGCTCGAGCGGGATTGGAAGGCAGTGATGGACCATCTCTCGCCTTCCCATTGATCCACCGCATGGAAGCTCTTGGGGTCGAAGACATTCATCTTGTTCCGGTGCTTGTAGACTCTTCCCAGGCGAGTGTCGCCTGGTCCCACGCACTTCTTGATGTCTCCCTCCGGGTGTTCCACCCACAAGTCACCTCCCTTGAAGCTGCCGATGGCCATGCTGTAGTTGAGGCCTACATTGTTGACGTCTCGGTGAGGTAGAACACGGGCGTCTCGAGTGACTGAGATAGAAGATCGGCCTCCCTCAGCCCCATGGGCCGTCATAAAACGGTTGAGGTACATGGTTGTGTGGCGTAGCTTGTAGGTGCTGAGGGTCAGCCCACCGAACTTGCCGTAGGTACTGGCCCAACATTTGGTAGATTCCTGAGCCCTTGATCGATCTTCTTCGCTGCCTCTGCTGCGGCCATGCAGTACACTGAAGAAGGCGAAGGCAGGAGGAGATGGAGTAATCTTCTTGTCTTCGTAGATGATAGGCCAGCTTCTCTCCTTCGCTGAGGGAGTCCCAGTCTGCCGCCCAAGAGGGGGCGGACTGCTCGCATTGGTCACGGTGAAGAAGCGTATCGCCTAGGGGCAACCATGAGGAATTCGTGGCTACTTTGCGTTGCCCGCCCTCGTCGGTCTTCACCTGCACCTTCTGACTGCGGGAGATCCTGCTCCACTCGTCCGAGGTCCACACTGGGTCCAAGGTGCTTGCCTCTAGGTAGAAGCTGCGATGCCCGTCGACCTGGTCTCGAATGACTTCCATGGCAAAGCTGGATTTGACCTCGTGCCGTACGCGATCTCTATCTAGAACCGGGATCGATGGCGTAGCTCCTGATCGGGTACTCGACGGATCGCTTGAGGTTCTGGTAGTTCCTGATCGGGTACTCGACGGATCGCTCGAGGTTCTGGTAGCTCCTGATCGGGTACTCGATGGATCGCCCGGAGTTCTGGTAGTTCCTGATCGTGTACTCGGCGGCGGAGGACTCGCAGGTAGATTGAGCACAACGAACACCGGCTGTTTCTTCCTGAGGAACTTTCGGCATCTTTGACGGCGCTCCTTCTCCTCGGGCTTCCAACCGTGCTGAGTGGTAAAAGTCTCATGTTGAGATGTCACTCGCACGCCTTCCTGCAAAGCAAACTGCGACACCTGGCTGGACTCGAAGAGCTCGACCAGGTCCACCTGGGACGGTTGTCCCTCGCGACGCTGCTGTGTGATCATCTTGATCATGGCGTCCTCTGCGCCGGCCGTCTCCGGGTCCAGGTCTGGATACACCACGGCTTCGATGAGCTGCTGCAGTCGCGGAGCTTGCACCAGCCAGAACGGGCCCAGATGACTCTCAGCCCCGTCTTCTCTCACGCCTAGACAGCGATCCGGGCTTTCGGCGCACTCGTGTAGAAGTCGAAGATGTCGAGGGCATGTCCACTTAGTCGTCGCACTTCCTTCGAGGTCGGGCGGTGGCTCGCCAACGCCTCTGGACCACAATTGGTCCTCGCGCCAGACCTCGTGCCACAGAGCGACCTCCGTCCTCGGGGTGGGTACTTCCCCAGCCTGCTGGCGTATCCATGGCCATCTCAGCCAAGGCAGTGTCTCCGAGGGCTCCCTCTTGTCGATCTTTGCCGTCACGGTGTCCGGGATGTACACCATCCAGCTTCTGTCATCGGCGCCAAGGGTCGCGAGCCGGTCCTTCATGCCGTGACTAATCTGGTGCCAAGAGATCAGCGATGAGCTCAAAGACAGCATAGGCAGTGCCACCCAGGAAGGCCAGGTCCTTAGGGCAGGTCTGAAAGGTTGGGGTTCGTGACCGTGGACCAGTGTCCAGGACTTTCGTCCTCCCCCGGCATGTCAGTGTCTAGGTCGGCTGTTCTCTCCGCGGCTTCGGCCACCTGCTGCAAGGACATCTCCGTCACACTCTCCGGAATGTGCCCCTGCATCATCGTCAGCATCTGTCCTTGTCCGCGGGCCAAATCTCGTAGGGACTGGCCCACCTCTCGGAAGCTCGCCGCCATTGCTTGAAGTGTCGCGTTCAGCTCGGCGGGAATCGTCTCCTCGGGCACGGTCGCGGTGGTCCTGGAAGTACGCCCCATTGTAGAAGGATACCCGGCCTCGGCTGGAGGCGGGCTCTGAAAGCCCGACGACGCCGCGGAGGATCGATTTCGGGGCTTGGCCTTGCCCTGAGGTCGTCCCGGGTGTGGTGTATACGTCAAGCGAGCTTCGCATTTCCGACACACTGTCCACGAGGCGTACTGGTTCGCCCGGCGGATGGGGTTCCCAGGGTGCAGGCATGCACTTCATGGGCTCCTGCACGTTCGCCGTCAGGAACTTCTTCCTCTCGGACAGCACGCTCTTCTGGCGGGTCTCCGCCAGGGCGAGTCGTGAGTAGTTGGCCCTGATGGCCTCCACCGCAAAGAACACTCTGGTCTCGCCACTTCGTTGCGATGGCAGTGCTCATCTCGTGCGCCGCCGCCCCCATCGCTCGAGATGGTGGTTCCATAAGGACGGTCGGCGCTGGGATCGAATTGAGTTCTACGCGTGGTAGAGCAGCTGCCCATCTGGGCAATTGAGCCTGACGAAGCGGACGAAGTCATGACATAGCTGAGGAGTGGGGAGTGGTAGTCATGAGGTGCTTGCATGGGGTTCATGATGCACTGTGTCAGCATGCGCACTCCGACCGGCAGCAGGTACTTCACACCTGATCGCGTCTGCACTGACATGTTCACAGGGCGAAACTTGAACTGGACTGTGACACCACTCTCTCCTTGACTGACGACATAGCTCGGACCCTTGTTTAATGTACGCGGAGGAGGCCGGGGCATCCTTGCTGAAAGCTCCTTCTTCCAGGCCATATTGCCTGCGTGCGATCTCCGGCACAGGGAAGGCTCCGCCCGTCCACTGCACGAGCGGTATTGCCCTGTGGCCGCTCGGGAGGCTGGTCATTCTAAGGTTCACGTCGATGTTTCGGAGCCGGACCTCGTTGGTTGGTGACCAAGTCCATTGAGGTTCCCAGATGTTCAAGCAGCCCCACCGACAGCAATGGCGGAACCTCGCCGTCGATGACAAGGAACTGGATGACTCCTGGCACGCCGCCTGGCGAGATCGGTACCAAGGCCGTCTTGGCAACTCGCGCAGCTCCTCCTATCCCTGTCAGGGCCGACGCCGTAGTCGGGATCTCCAGGCTCTTGAGGCCGCACCGGTCCAGTTCCCTCTCGAGGGCTTCGAAGGCAGACTTGCCGATGATATCCTGAGTGGCCCCAATGTCCAAGATCGCCATGCCTGAGGGTATCGCGAGAAAGTTCCAGGACAGGGAGGGGTCCACCATGGTGCTCGGCCGAACGTAGGTCATGAAGGTGAAGTGGCTCGCCTTTCCACTTGATGCTCCGGCCAGGGAGCCTCCCAAGTAGCAGAAGCCGCTCATCTTGTTCCCGACTACGCCATTTGAAGGCCGCGAGCCTCCTTGCCCACTTCTGCAGTCCTCGGCCCAGTGGCCCCTTTTGCCGCACAAGTTGCACTTGGAGACGCGCTTGAGCTGTTCGCGGGATATTTTCGCTCGGGCTCCGCCAGGACGATATCCTCCTCGCATATGATCGGGCTTGGAGTCGCTGGTGCCTCCCTTGGTGAAGCTCTGCCTGTCTTTGCGTAGCTCAGCCTTGAACTTCTTGTTCTCGCGCCACGTTCTCCTTTGTCGAGGAGGGCGGTTCTCCATGATCGCGAACACGAGGGCCGCCTGCTCTCGCGTGAAGTTCATGTCCGACAGCTCGTCCAAGATCTCCTGGTCCTCGGCCGAGTCGTCCTCGTCGCGGAGTGGGTCGTCCTCCTCGTCGTCGTCGTCGCCTTCCTCGCCGTCGACGTGGTAGCTTTCTGCATGCTCCCCAACGTGTTCCTCTCGACAAAAGCCAGAAAGCCTGTCGGACCGAACGTCCATGCGCGCGAGGGTGTGAGCGATCTTGTCCACATCGTTGTCGCTGCCCTGTAGCAGGGCCGTGAGGTTCTGCTGCCCCTGCTCGGACAGCCCTGCTCCCTCTCGTAGAAGTGCCGACCGAAACTCGGCTGGCAGCTGCACCCCATACGAGCTGGCCTTGGAGAAGTCGCGTAGCCGGCGGTTGGCATACTGTCCGAGGCTCTCGTCTCGACGCCGGGCGTTGTCATAGAGAACCCCCCGGAACGCCGCTCGCCGATCATCGTCTTCTCGTACTCCCGCTCGCATCTCGATGACCCTCAAGAGGTGCTCCAGGTAGTCCGGGGAGCTCAGCTGAGCTTCGCTGAGATGCTCGAACTCCGTCATCATCTCCCAGCCCAGGGTCCTTAGCACCTTCTCTGCACGCCGCCCGACAGGGATGTCCGTCGTCTTGTTCCAGCGCCTCACCGCCGTCACCCACTGCCGTCGGTACTGCCATCCCGGCCATGCGGGCGGGTCTGCGAAGTCGCCTTTCCAAACGCCCGGCGGCCCAGTAACTGAATGAGGAGGCCCCCAGGGCGCTCCGGTAGGTGCAGTCCACGGTGGGGATGGCGTAATCCAGGGTGGCGGCATCATTCCCACACTCCATGGAGGAACTCCTGTACTGAAGGCCATCCCAGGAGGGCTTGCTGTCGAGGTCGCAGGAAGGCTCCATCCCGGCATCTGCGGTCCCAGGCTCCCGTGGTTGAGGTAGGTGGGGGGAGTCCACCCTGACATCGTCGGCCTCGGGAGATCGGGAGATTTGGAGGCTGTGGTGCCTGCGAAGCCTCGGGTGTCGCAGTCGCCGGAGCCGCAGGCGTCGCGCCGGCAGCATCATTCGGAGTGGTAGGTCTCCTCGAGGCTGCATTAACTAGCTCTCGCGCTGCCTCGAGCCACGGGTCGTCTCTGCCTTCACCGTGCGGGGGATCGCGTAGTAGACGCTCTAGGCCTCCGAGCAAGCTTGGCGTGGTAGCCGGCGGTCGTCCGGTAGACGTCGTAGAACTGGTAGCGCCGGCAGGTTCCTGTTCCTCCGGCACGCTGCTCAGAACGGGCTCCGGAGCCAGAAGCCAGATCGTAGGCTGGGTATGAAGCAAAAGGCGGATAGCCGTATTCCCCTGGCCATCCAACATAACCCCAGGACTGGTCTCCCCAAGGGCTTGCCGCGCCTGGAGCCCACGAATGCGCTCCGGCAGGGTACGGTCCTCCTCGACCAGTCCAGACATCAAAACTCTGTTCATAGCCGGCATCTCGGTGTCGTTCAGCCTGTGAGGGCATGGCGGCTGCTCGTCCAAACGACATGGCGGAATATGGGCTCAATCAGGAACCCGGCCTACGGAGCCGGGCTCCGCTACCAACTATCAAGATAGTTGGACAGCGGCCCGCTCATGCTCCAAAACACTTTTCGCTGTCGCACCAAGTCTCCGGCTTGAGCCACGATCACGTGGCGGTCTTGCGGCTCTGCAGCTGTTCTGGTCAAACGCGGTTAGCGATCACAACAGGATTGTTGTCACAGCCCTCCCCTGCGCACCGTCCCAGCACCCGATATCACAAGGCCCGCCGTCCACCGTTTAGTCTTCTAAAGGTCTAAAGGTTTTCCGATATCGCGCACTCTCCTCGCGTTGGAGCACGAAAAAAAGCGAGAACCCTTGTAACGACCGGCGGCTGAGCTCTCGTCTCTGCGCTGGCGGTTTCGGAAACCGCTTCGATGCTCTCACGGTGTCTCGGTGTCTCTCTCAAAGCTGTGAAAGACAACCCGGCTGCCCGGCTCCCCCGGCTCCCCCGGCTCCTCGGTTCGCGCCATCTCCTGGCAGATCTGTCACTAGGCCAAGAAGAGAAACCACACATTGCCGCAAGCCTGTTTTGCATCCAAGTGGATGCTCAGAAGGACCTTTCCACAGAAAGTACAGTGACCGCTTGTGCTCGTGCCTGAGCTTGTTCCATGCTGTTGATCGTTCGAAGCTGACAAGATCTCGGCCGGCCAGAAAAGCCTTCTTCCCGGGGCCTTGCTCGAAAATTTCCGGAATGACTGCAGAGACTGCAGGCACTTTCACTCGCTCGTTTATGGCCTGACGCCAGCCAGCTCCCTGAGGCTCCACAGAGAAGGCATTGCCTCACAACGTGCTGCCCGGTGGCTCATAGAGCCTCTTCTGGCCCCCTCCCGAAGTCACTTGTCGTCCTTTGCCTCTCCCTCGCGCCCTTCTTAAGTTTCGCGGGGCTGGAAGGGGCAAGACCACCAAGTCGCACTAAGTTCCGATTTCGCCCAGCCCTCCAACGCACACCTCCGCTGACCGTGCTACCACAGAATCTCCTGCTGGCGATGCTACAGCCATCGCGACCTCATACTATGATTTGCAACAACAACCTTACTCTAGCACCAGCACTACCGCTTGTGCCTGCTCATGAAACATGCTCCTCCCTCGTCCTGGGATCAGAAAGGCTTCCATCAACACGCCGACGCTGCTTTACACTGCGCGGTTCCGGTCTACACTACGTGCTGCTGGCGTGCGGGAATGCATGTCCGGTTCGCGCAAGTAAACAGAAGACTCAAGGACAACTGCTGTGAAAAAGCCTGCATGTACCATCCATACCTTGCCACCAACCAACCTCACGACCGTCTCGACCGTCTATATTGCAAGTCTACAAGTCAGGATCCTATTTCTTGGAAGCTGCCGGCACTGTCTACAATCCGTCCTCTGCGGAAACGATTGTTCCAGCTTCTCTGGTCTCTGCCCCACACTTCGTCTCCCGTCGGAGCACACCACCTTGCGGCAGCCCGATCTGCTCGGCTTTGGCCAGTGCCGCTGCACGGATCTGGAAGGACGGCATGGAAGTCTCGGCCTGCAATGCCCTCAAGAAGGCGCCTTCCATGAGGACTCGTGAACGATGTACTCCGACTCCAATCCTGTTGGCTGCTGCAAGTCCACGAAACGAACAGGATGAACAGGAACTTCCAACCTGGGAAGCCCATCGACACCTGATCCGCGGACTGCGGCAGAGTCGTGTCCCGTCTTGTGCAGAGGCGGCCTTGCTCTCAACCCTGATGCAATTTGCCACGGGAACCTTACAAGAGCGCACGCAGCGAGCGCAGCTCAAGAGACGGCTCTGTCACTGCACTCTTTCTCTGCTAGGACAACGGCGACGAGCTTCTCCTGAGGGCCGAACGGGCCGAATGGGCCGAACGGAGGGCGGAGAGAGAAAGGAGGGGAGCTTGGGAGCTTCAACTTCAACTTCCGAAGTATCTTCCTAAAGGGGAGAAGTGCTCCAGCACCGGTCTGCTGCCTCGATTCTCGATTCGTGAGGAGAAGCCGGCAAGAGGATCCCCGACACAGGACGAGAGGCAAAACGACGAGGACATGCCTCCTTAAATTTGCTGATCGTGCCCTGGTCTCTGTGCTGTGCTTTCCGTGTTTTCCCGCTTTGCCCGCCTCCAGCAGGTGCTCCGGCATGCCTCGAAGACTCGAAGGGCAAGGCAAAAGCACGCGATGTGAAGCGGCGAAGCGAAGCGCTTTGCGTCTTCGAGGCTGCGGCCCAAGTCCAGCATCAGTGCCTGCAGCGTAGGACTTGTCTCTGCTCTGGGCTCTGGGAAAGGAAGCCATGGACCCCCCAGGATGCGCGAGCCCGAGATAACGGCGCACTCCGTCGTGGGATGAAGGTGTCACTCGATGTGGACCCCAGGCCCGAGCAGGAGACATGTAGTGACATGTACACATGGAGATGAGCCAAGCTGTCCTGCCTGCGGAGTCCGTGCGACAGGCAACAGAATATGGATGGAGGCCATCCAAGATTGAGATCTTCCAGAAGAGGTAGAGAAGCTGCGGTTTAGTATGGTTTAGTGATCCTCACCAGGCGGTGCCAGGAAGGGCCCGCGAAGCTTCGCGGCATTGCTGGGCTGCCGCTCTCTGGCTGTGCTTTGCCGCGCTCGTGCGCGCAAAGCAGCACGGCACGCAGAGGCTCTTGCATCATTTCTGCGAACGTGAGGCGGCTTGAGCTTGCGAAAGATAGGCCCAGGAGCCACTCGAGATCCACCCATTTTTCTCCCAGAATTTAAGTGGAATGGAAGAGTCTTCCAGTCTTCGACTCTCGCAGTGAGTTCATGCCGATGTGCAGGCTTCTGTCGAACTTGGTGCAAGTCACATGTCTGCAAGTCTGTGATACAGTGAAGTTGAAACCTGCCATGCGATAAGTGTATGGCTTCGAACCAGCAATCCAAGTCCCTCCGAGCGCACCTTCATGGCCTCCTCCACGGTCTCATCTTGGCGGATTCGACGGCATGGCAGTTTGCCGAGCTTTTGGTCGGCCGCCCTCGAAGCGAACGGCGAAGGCCAGCTGTGGTCCTTTGGTGACAGCATGTGTCGGCCTCAGCCACGCATCGGACTGGACCTCGACCAGCGCCCGCACCTTGAAGAAAAAGACAGAGCTCTGCACTCGGCGGCATCCTGCAGCTCCCTGATCCCAGGGTCCCAGGGTCTGGGATGCCGCACGCTATTGTCGATGATAGCCAGCAGCTGCAACCGGACCAACTTCACCTTCGGAGGGCCGGAGGTTTGGGGGGATTTGCCAGCCCACACTCAGCTGGGAGGGCGGCACGGCGATGGATGCGCTTTCCGGGGCCTGTGACGAGCCTTGGAGATGTCAACCATATATCTTCATCCGTCTCTCACAGAGTCTTCCTAAAAGACGCCGCCTCGCACAGGCAGAGCAAGTGGGAAGTGGGAGCTTCTGGCTTGCGCGCTCGCTCTGGCAAGTGTGGAGCTCCGTGACGAGGTCCTCGAGGCTCTTGTGGCCTGCGGAGAGACCGAAAACTCTCTCGCTGCTCTCGCTATCTCCAGAGGAAGGGCCGTCGGGCCCTTCCCCACAGCCGAACACAGCACGCGGGTCACAAGCAGGCTTTGGTCCTTTAGTGTCGGTTCGTTCGGGCTTCGGCGGCTACGGGCTTCGCAGAGGGCTTCTTGGGCATCACCCGATGGGTTGAGAAGCTCCGTCTCGGATGGAACAGGTCATGGACGGGAAGTGCGGCTCAGAAGCAAAACGTGCTTGCGAGACCCCACCCACACCCTGTCCTTACAAGCAATCTGTTCAACTGGACCCCGTAAGCCGCAAGGCTCCCAGGACGGTTCGGCGAGCCTTCACGTTCATTCATGCTTGGGCCTCACCCTCCACCCCTTGGGCGAGACCCAATGGCTGGCGCCTGCCTACGCACTTCTGACGGGGCCCGGCTCGCATCGCGGATGCTGAAACAAAAACCTGCATACAGCCGAACTTGACAACTACGAGTCTGTATAACAAGAAGAGCACACAGCAGCCAGCAACGGCACTTCCGAAGGTAGGAAAGCCCGTGTTTGCTCTCTTGCTATTTCCCTCCGCCATCATCCTTTCTTTCGCAAAATTGCAAGGGTAAAGGGTGGGGAAGCTGCCCCAAACCCCCGCGCATGGGAAGCATGGTGAAATAGGCACACAAGGCAGACGAAGCGAAGTCACAGCGAAAAGCCCTTGTATTATGGCCTCCCTCCCTCTCTGTCTCCTCTTTTTCCGGTGCAGAGTCCGACTGTCGTCAGAAGCGGCTTTGGGGTTGCCTTCACCTGCAGCATGCCCGGCCCGCCCGGCCCCGGCCACGGCCTTCGTGACCGTAGAGGCCCAAGTTGAGGCCTGCAGGCGAGACGAGGGAGAGCGGAGTTTTCTTGCGTTGCACCCGGGCTCAGGCCGCTTTGCTGCAACCGCTCCCGGAGCTCCGAAGGTGCCCAATTCTTCTCATCGCCCTCCGCCTGGCATCGCAGAGCTTAACCCAAACCCACATAGACCCACGTTCTGTTTGGGCCCTTGGCTGGCCTCCAAGGAGCCTGAGCTTAGAACCTGGCCGAGGGCTGGGCAGGCAGGCCATGCTAGGCCTATTGGGAGCCCCTCACGGCGGAGCAAGGAAGATTCGAGCCTGAACCCGTCGCTTGGTCTTGTTTCGAATGGACTGCGCCTTGCAAAACCAAACGGCGGGAAATCTGTCCCGAACATCTCCCACTCTGCACGTCGCAACTCTTACAACGCGGTTTATCCAAGCCTCTCTGGGCAAGACGTCCTGGTCGGTGACAATGCTGCCATGCTTGATAACCGCCCAGAACACCTCCTGCGCAAAAAACGCAAATGTCCGCTGCTGGGGTCGCTCTTGGCAGCCCGCAGCCCACCTTGTGTTTCAGCTTCGCAGCCACCTGTGCAGGTGTCTTCTCCTTCCAAGGAGAGACAGAGAGCCAATGTTTGTTCGGTCGTCGGGCGTCGCGTCCTCCTGATCCAGCACGGAGACGTCCGCACCCAATTGCTCGATCAGAAAGTCCCTCAGGCGCGGAGGCGCGGCGACGTGTCTCACGATGCGGTCTTCGCTGTCTCGGGTGCCAGGCGCGCAGGATTCCGCCTCGAGCAAGGCAACAGGGCCACGCAACAGCAGGCAGATGTGTCATGGCAGCTTAATTCTGCACGTTCTTCTTGGCGCAGTGGTGGAGCAAGCCCTGAACGGAAGCACTCTATGAAAAGGGTTCGCGCACACAAGGTGCGGCGGCGACACCTCTCCGAAAAGGAGAGGAACCTCCGGTGAGAGGCACTGCTCCTCGAAGCAATGACACATCCAAAAGCCTACACCTGAATCAACGCAACAGCGACAAGAACGCAAGCAGCTGGCCGGCTTTGAATGCTGACATCTGAACTTCGACCATTCACGTGCAGATATTACATCAGAAACCACAGCTAGCTGTGCAGAGCCATGCTCAAACGTGCGGTCAGCATAATGTGCAAGCCTGGGAAGGCTATAGTTGTAGATAACCACGGCACACACGCACTGATTATACCCGTCCAAGTGATAGCAGTTGGGCACGGTATACCATTGAGTAGCTACGCCCTTTTTCCTGCTAGAGCACTTGTGCCACAATGTCACACACAACATGATACTTCACCCGTGCACAAATTACACCCCCCTCGCCGAAACGACAGTCTGAGGCGCAAACAGGCACGGAAGCTTGGTGCTGTGTGGCCTGCCATAAAGGCGGCTGGATTGTGGCTCGGGGCTCATAGGCTTTCTACTACCGTAAAGCGGAAGATACGGAAGCAGATTAATTCTTTTGGCGCGCGGTTTAAAGTCGCGACATGCAATTATAAAATGGCGGCGATCCAGCAAGCCTTGAACCGTGGCGTGGATACGAGCCGCAAGAAATCAGTGCAGCATGGGACGAATACATCATCCACTGGAGCTGCGGACAACTCGGAGTTGTCACAAAGCGACTGCCAGAAATGAAATGTGAGATTTTTCTGGATTCGGGGGAATTCGGCGAGGCTGGAATTCGGAGTACCGGTTAACGTGACGGAACCAGGAAATGCGGGATCGGTAACATAGTACCATCCTCCGGAACCGGATGACCTACCATAGGGATGGGATCCCCGCTGATAGTCGCGACCCCAGCCCTGCTGCTGATACTGCTGCTGTTCGGCCCTGCGTGCATCAGCTTTAGCTTGAACAACACGGGACCTCTCAGCATTGCGCAGGCGCTCCTCGTATGCACGACGTGCAATCCCTGTCTGAGCTGAGAACGTCTGGGAAAACCACTGGACCCATTCATCGGCGGTTTTACCCTGCCCGTGGGTCGATGTAGATTGGCTCCTCTGCAAAAGTCACGATCATGCGCACAATCTTGTGCTGGAGGAAAACATCTACGAACTTTCGTAAGCTGTATGCCCCTCCAGGCCACATCACCCAAAAAAAGATCGTCACTCACAGCTGAGATCAGGCCTGCCCTAAGGGCGGCTGGATTGTTGTCGTGGAGGTAAACCAGTCGCGCGATCTCCTGATTCCGGGGTCCTTCTGAGCTACCGCCATAGGTGCCCACAGCAAGCAGCCGCTGTTCCTTTGTGCGGCCGTGGTTCGGGAGGCCGGCCTTTGTGAGAACTAGTTTCGTCCGGCGTGTGGCTACGTCCTGACATGACAGATTCCCAGTTGCTAATGAAGACAGAAAGGTCATCGTTGATGAGCCTAACTTTTAGCAGATCCTCAACGGAGTAAAGGGCGCCCACCTCCTCGTTCGTCTTGAAGTACTGATCGAAGAGGTAGAGCACCTGTCATCCTCGTACCGCCCTGAACTTGGCCGCTTCTGTCTCCATAAAAATACGGATTTCGCGGCACAGTTCTCCCCCTGGCAACTCTGGTGAGTGCAGCTCGGAGTTTCGTATTCGGAGTACCGGTTAACGTGACGGAACCAGGAAATGCGGGATCGGTAACATAGTACCATCCTCCGGAACCGGATGACCTACCATAGGGATGGGATCCCCGCTGATAGTCGCGACCCCAGCCCTGCTGCTGATACTGCTGCTGTTCGGCCCTGCGTGCATCAGCTTTAGCTTGAACAACACGGGACCTCTCAGCATTGCGCAGGCGCTCCTCGTATGCACGACGTGCAATCCCTGTCTGAGCTGAGAACGTCTGGGAAAACCACTGGACCCATTCATCGGCGGTTTTACCCTGCCCGTGGGTCGATGTAGATTGGCTCCTCTGCAAAAGTCACGATCATGCGCACAATCTTGTGCTGGAGGAAAACATCTACGAACTTTCGTAAGCTGTATGCCCCTCCAGGCCACATCACCCAAAAAAAGATCGTCACTCACAGCTGAGATCAGGCCTGCCCTAAGGGCGGCTGGATTGTTGTCGTGGAGGTAAACCAGTCGCGCGATCTCCTGATTCCGGGGTCCTTCTGAGCTACCGCCATAGGTGCCCACAGCAAGCAGCCGCTGTTCCTTTGTGCGGCCGTGGTTCGGGAGGCCGGCCTTTGTGAGAACTAGTTTCGTCCGGCGTGTGGCTACGTCCTGACATGACAGATTCCCAGTTGCTAATGAAGACAGAAAGGTCATCGTTGATGAGCCTAACTTTTAGCAGATCCTCAACGGAGTAAAGGGCGCCCACCTCCTCGTTCGTCTTGAAGTACTGATCGAAGAGGTAGAGCACCTGTCATCCTCGTACCGCCCTGAACTTGGCCGCTTCTGTCTCCATAAAAATACGGATTTCGCGGCACAGTTCTCCCCCTGGCAACTCTGGTGAGTGCAGCTCGGAGTTTCGTATCGAGGGTGAGGAATTTCTCGGGGTCCTAGCGACTCTTGACTAGCGTCTTTGTCGTAAGCCTTCATCACCCATTTTAATGCCTCATCAGGGGAGTCGGATGCTGCCCTGACCGCCTCCCTCGCTGCCGTTTTCCACGAACGATACGGTGCACTAGCTAGCGTATCCCCCCGCCACCTCCTTCAACACCTCCGGGCAGTACGTAGCAAGCCTAGCTTTGGCTAACTGGCTTCACACAGTAGCACGGACAACACGAACTTCTCTCTTTTTAGCGTTGTGGCGATGTCCCGCGTTAGCCCGGAGAAGAACTCTAGCCTTCGGCTAGCTAATCTCCAGGGTGGGTTGGGTGGGCACTCGAAAATTGCCCGCCAGTAGCAGGGGGCCTTTCAGCACAATGAGTAGCTCATATTCCACCGGCCATGTGCAGTCACTCTAGCAAACAGACTGGCTTCGTTCTGTTTAGCTTCAGAGGAAAACCCCTTCGACGTTTTCTAGCGAAACACCTTCGATGTTTCACACAAGGATACTAGCGCTAGCATACCCTGTCGTACCTCGTCCCTCGGCACGAGTGCGTACACTAGCTAGCGTGTCCTCCCGCCACCTCCCTCAACACCTCCGGGGAGTACGTAGCAAGCCTAGCTTTAGCTAACTGGCTTCACACAGTAGCACGGACAATACGAACTTCTCTCTTTTTAGCGTTGTGGCGAAGTCCCGCGTTAGCCCGGAGAAGAACTCTAGCCGTGCGGGCCTTTGCCCTTTTTCCCGTTCTCCGTGTGCATGTCCCACGCACCTAGCGGCCAGAGATCGCGGTCGATACTGGACCACGATAGCTCCAAATAAAAATGGCACTTCCCTTTGGGAAGGCTGTTAGCGTGAGCTAGGGGGCGGGCGCGCCCTTCCTTTTAGCGCACACGGCACACGAGATCGGTGTGCCCTTATAGCGTGGCGGATGATGAGCGGCATGCCCCCCGCCTGGCTGATAGCCTTGTCGGTCTGGAGCTCCCGACGTAGCATATCCATGTAGCGGTCCGGGTCATCGAACAATAGCGTCCACGTGTAGTCGAACACGTTGATGCTGCAAGCGGGCGGGCGCCCCCTAGCGCCCTCCTTCCCTTTGCCCTTTCTGTCCGTAGCTGGGGAGGAAAGGAGGGGGTAGCAGCTGTGAAGGTAGCCGTTGGCCCCGGCGCTTGCGTAGCCGCCTGCAGGAAGTTCATAGCGGCTGCCTCCGCAGGTCGGATCTCGGTCCGATGCAGCCGTAGCGGCGGCCACGCTGGCCTTGCTAACGGCCACGGCCGCTTGGAACTCCTGTTCCGCGGCATCTGTCTCTTTAGCGAGTCGCTCTGCGACCTCTTTCTTCTTCTGCTCTAGCGCGGCTGCAGCGACCTTCTGGTCGTGCTCCGCTTTGCGCTGTGCCGCAATCTTAGCGGCCAGGGCCTCCGCCTCCTTGCGGGCCTTGGCTTTAGCGGCGGTAGCGGCCTGGTTGGCGGCAGCCAACTGCTGTAGCTGGGCCTTGGCGGCGGCCTCTTCTGTAGCGGCGAACCTTTGTGTAAGGTTGGCAGACATAGCAGAGTCCAGGTTAGCGATATCATATGCTGAGAGATCGCCCCATCTCCTAGCGGAACACACCTTCCGCTCGTTCGTTGCCTGAGCCCGGCCCCTAGCCACATCCTGGGGGGCCCCGTAGCGGTCGGGTCGCGGGCCTGCCCCTCTAGCTGCGCGATTGCCTCTCTGGACATAGCGATAAGCTCCTCTAGCAGGGGTGCCTCAAAGTAGCGGGGCAAGGCCTCGGCCAGCTCCTGGATACGAAACCTTAGCGCCCTCCACAAATTGCGGAGGGTGTCCGGCACATCGGACTCGCCAGCGGGGCCATCGCCCGCAGCGGGGTCGTCTCCAGACCCCTTGATCTTGGCAGTAGCGGAAGCTTCCTTCCCTTCCACACCCATAGCGTCAGCTCAAGGCTGGGATCAGGTGAAACCGCTATCTTAGGCTAGCTACCCGAGGTAGCGCGCCTTCGGAGGTTTAGCGCAATCACTGGCTCCTGCGCCTAGCTCCTATGTTGCCCTGTTGCCTAGCCTGGGCCCGGCCCACAGGTTTCGTAGCGCCTGCCTCCGCTTCTAGCTCCTTGGACCTGGCGCAAGCACTGGCTCCTCTCCTAGCTCCTGTGTTCCCTGAATGGCCAAGAGAGGGGTCTCCCGGCCCCGGTTTCATAGCGCCTGCCTTCGCTCCTTGCTCCTCCTGCAAAACACTAGCGGAACACAAGCAAAGCGACACAAACACACAGCAAGTGCAACAACATGTAGCAAGAACGTGGTTCTCTCCATTCCTCTATCTGTCTCCCCAACGGCCCCCCCCCCTCTCCGCGTA